CCCCACACACAGGATGCTTTGATCCAGCCCTTGGGATACTGAAAGTAGCTGATATGATTCTGTGGCTCATGGGACCTTCCCAAAATTCCCCCTTCCAGCAGCTGAGCTGAGGGTTTATTGGTGTTTCCCTCTTCCAGGCTGTGAAAGTGTGAGACTTCTTTGAGAATTCCTTTCTGCACAGGGCAGGAACCTCATTTAGCTTGAAAAAGAAACCTTTTCATTTCCTCCTGCTGTGACATTTAAACTGGACTTGATTTCTTTTGGGGTTTGATGCTCTGCAAACCCAGAATATGGATAAAGGATCATGAACCATTGGGTTGCAATGGTTTTCCAGGTTATTGTGCTCCCAATCCCTGTCTCTGCCAGGTGAAAGGTGCTGCTTAAAACCACCACTGCTGCTTGTCCATCCACACTCTTGGATTATGGATTTGGCTCCTCAGTCTTTACCCCAAAACTCTTGCTGAGCTGAAGGAAAGAGTTTGAAGTTTTTTGAGTTCTTTCCTTGATGGGGATTTGGAAATGATGGAGGGAATGTGGGAAAGGAGCCATGACTCTTCCCCCTTTTTAAACTATCAGAAGCAAACACCTGCCATGTCTGGCAAGTTTTGCTTTTTGACCTCTTCTAGATAATAAATAGTTCCACCTTGGGGGTGTGTAACAGTGAAGGACATTTTTAACTGAAAATGAATAATCTTTGCTACAAAACTTCTTATTTTCAGGGTGATGCTGAATTTTATAAGACTCATCTCCCTTTTTCCATGTATTTATGAAATATATGAATAATAATATATATTCATATATAGTAATATATTCCATGTATTTATGGAATACATTAAAAAGCCCCCAGGGCTTTTTTCTCCTGAAGTGAAATCTTAACTCTGAAAATCTTACTGTGGAATCTTACTCTGGAAACCTGATTCTGAAATTGTGTTCAAGTCATAGTTTAAAAAAAAAAACCCTCATCTGGGATGTTTAGGAAGGAACTTCACACTGGGAATGCAACCCTTGAATCTGGCTAAACCTGTCCTTGTGTGAATAATTGGGCAGGTTTAAAGAGTGATTGTTTTAAGGTGCTTAAGGGAAAAAAAAGAGGAAAATAAAACCAAACTTAAAAAACCCATTAATTCTCAGAAGTCACAAATGTGACTCCAGAGTTTCACATCCTTGTGCAAGGGCACTGCCAGTAACAGTTGATTTTGTGATTCTGAAGAATCTTGTGGCTTCAGGTTTTTTAAATATTCCTCTTTGCTTTGCTGTGGGAATGGAGATGGTGCAGCTCTTTGTGCCCTTCCCTCGTGCAGTAAATGCAGTTCTTGGCCTGTTCTTCATGTGGCTGAGGAGGGAAGGGGTTGGGGAGAAAGGTTGGCAGAGAGATCCCACTGCAAGGATTCCTAAAAGGCTTTAGATCCCTGAATGTTTGAATCCAATCCTGCAACTGCTGCTGGATTTGCATGGGAAGAAGAGGAGGGAAGTGCTCTGGATGAGGCAGCTCAGTGCTGGTCTGACTGGACTGATGGATAGAGAACTCCTGAGGAATCCAGCTGCCTTTGGCTGCTTTTCTCCAGGAGGAACAGCTTGGTCTGGCTCCAGGAGCTCTGTTTGTGCATCCTGCCTGTGCTCAGGTTCCTTGAGAATCCACAGCACCTTAGACTGAGAAGGGAAGAGCCATCCCAGCACTTGGCAGGTGTCCTTTCCCGTTCCTGAGGTTGCATTTTTTTCCTCTCCTTGCACATTCTTTTACTTTGAATCAAGATTTAAATTGCTGCTAAGTTGCAGCATCCAGACCTCAGGTGGACAACTGCATATTTCCAGGCTTTGTGTGTGTGAAAGGCTCCCTGGTGATTGTGTTACTGACTCCTGTTCCTCCCTGAAAGCACCACAAGAGTTCTTGCAAATGGTTCCCAAGATTCTATCAGCCAAAGACAAAGGGAATCCCGGTCACCACCCATTCCCAGAATTGCTGTTGACAGTGAGGAACCTGTGCTGGACTCACTGACTGACTCTGCCCCCTCTCCAGGTCATTTCTCACTATCAGTGCAAAGAGCAGAGGGACGTCCACAGGTTTGAGAAAATCAGCAACATCATCAAACAATTCAAGCTGAGCTGCAGGTGAGCTGATGTGATCAGGAGGTGGGAAGAAACCTCAGCAGGGATTTTGGCTTTGTGGGGCTCTCCAGTGAATCCCAGTTCTGTGGGATTGTACTAGGCTTAAGCACAGCTCACTTAAGTTGTTGCTTTTATAACTTTCTCCTTTGCTGATGGTTGAAGAGGTTGGTTTGTTCTGAAACAGCTGTTTTCTCCTGGGCAAAGGAGGAAAGTTCCAGGATAAATCAGTGACAGTGCTTGGAATGTCAGGTGGAAAGCTCTGCTCCAGTCCTGGGCTGGCTGGGGAGGAAGAGGCTTCCAAGCACTATTTATCCATATATTTTGAATGGAAAAGTGGAAAGCTTTGGGGCAGCTTGGCTCTGAACAGCCTCCAGGCTCTGCAGTCTGGTTATACCTGGAAGTGTGTGGAGCCTGGGTGGATGGAGAAGTGGCTGCATGGTTTACAGGTGTTTCAGATGTCTCCAGATGTTCCAGTTTTATCCTTATCTCTGCTGGGTCCTCCAGAGTGTCCAGGCTCAGTCAGGGGGTTGTGTGTCTGGAGTTTCCTTCACTGTTCAATGCACAAGTCACTTTGTACTGTTCTCATTTAGCCCAGAGCCAAAGAGTTTTGTCCTTAAAAACCAACCCTGCTGTGGTCACACCTGATTTTCCCTGCCAAGTGGGAATTCAAACTCTGCTTTGTTCCCAACAGCTCAAATAAGGGATTTTGGCCACGTGGGCACAAAAGCTGCTTGAGCAGTGGTAGGGGAATAATTAATTTACTTTTTTTTTCCTTTATTTCTACTTTTTCAGTAAGCTGGCAGCCTCTTTCCAGAGCATGGAGGTCAGGAACTCTAACTTTGCTGCTTTCATTGACATCTTTACATCCAACACATACGTGATGGTGGTTATGTCAGACCCTTCCATACGTAAGTCGAAGCCAAGATAAGCCTGTTTAGGACAGAAAAAAAAACCCCAACAGGCCAAAATGAGTACAGTTTCAACTGTGAAAATGAGATTTAATTACAAAACTGAAGAGAGGGAGAGGAATTGAGTGGGGTGGGGAGGGTGGGTGAGCAGTGACTCTGCAGAGGTGGGATGTGCTGGGACAGCTGAGCTCTTGCTGTCACGGGGAGGATCTGTGGCTGTGAGAGGAACCACCAGAACAGATGTGACCTGGTTTAGCAGGTCATGTCTAATAACCTATTTTGGGCTGTTCTGGGCTGGCAGCCCCGGTGAGTTTTGGAGAGGAAGCAGGGATGGATCATGTTGGAGTGTTGCTCTTGGTGGACAGGACTCTAATTATAGCAGCATCTATTTATCCTAAAGGAGAAGCTGCAGCAGTGCCAGCCCAGGCCCCCTGGGACCAGTTAACTGTTTACACAGCTCCACTTGGAGCTCCTGGTGGGATCTGAGGTGCTCCAGAGACACTGTCCAGGACACCTCGTGCCTCACACTGTGCTTGCCCTTGCATTTGTTACTGAAACAGGGAAAACTGTGTGACTGAGGCACAGCTGGGACAGGGCTGTGCTGGGGAACAGCAGATGGGCAGCTCTGGGGACTTGTGCAGCTCTCCCTGTGGCTGGAGTTCACTGGGCTCTTCCTCGTGGTGTTCTTGGATCAGCAAACAGCCCAGACTCCCTCACATGAAATTGTGCCCAGACCTTCCCACATTAAATTTTGCCCAGACCCTCCCACATCAAACTGTGCCCAGGCCCTCCCACATTAAATTGTGCCCAGACCATCCCACACTGAATTTTGCCCAGACCCTCCCCTATTAAATTCTGCCCAGACCATCTGACATGAAATTTTGCCCAGGCCCTCCCACATTAAATTTTGCCCAAACCATCCCACATCAGATTCTGCCTAGACCATCCCAACTGAATTTTGCCCAGATTCTCCCCCCTTAAATTGTGCCCAGATCCTCCCACACTGAATTTTGCCCAGACCATCCCACATTAAATTCTGCCCAGACCATCTGACATGAAATTGTGCCCAGACCCCTCACATTAAATTGTGCCCAGACCCTCCCACACTGAATTCTGCCCAGACCTTCCCACATCAAATTGTGTCCAGACCTTCCTACATTATATTTTACCCAGACCATCCCACACTGAATTTTGCCCAGACCCTCCCACGTCAAACTGTGCCCAGACCATCCCACATTAAATTGTGCCTGGATCATCCCACATTAAACTTCACCCAGACCATCCCACATTAAATTCTGCCCAGACCATCTGACATGAAATTTTGCCCAGGCCCTCCCACATTAAATTGCACCCAGACCATCCCACAATGAATTTTGCCCAGACCCTCCCACATTAAATTCTGTCCAGACCCTCCCACATTAAATTCTGCCCAGACCATTCCACATCAAATTTTGCCCAGACCTTCCCCCATTAAATTTTGCCCAGACCATCCCACATTAAATTCTGCCCAGACAATCCCACATTAAATTCTGCCCAGATCATCTGACATGAAATTTTGCCCAGGCCCTCCCACATTAAATTGCACCCAGACCATCCCACAATGAATTTTGCCCAGACCCTCCCACATCAAACTGTGCCCAGACCCTCCCACATTAAATTTTGCCCAGGCCCTCCCACATTAAATTGTGCCCAGACCATTCCACATCAAATTCTGCCAAAACCCTCCCACATCAAATTTCCCCCGGAGCCTCCCACACTGAATTTTGCCCATCCTGGGAGCAGCAGGATGAAACAGGACCTTGCAGACAGGGCTGTTGCCCTCAGGACGTGGCCACTGCCCCCTTTTAACTCCTTTTTATCTGCCCTGTCCCTTTTCCGTCGCAGCTTCCGCGGCCACGCTGATCAACATCCGCAACGCCAGGAAACACTTTGAGAAGCTGGAGAGGGTGGATGGCCCAAAGCACAGCCTGCTCATGCGCTGATCCCAGGCTGTGGGGGCAGGAGGCATGGATTTGGGACTACTTTTTAGGAGAATCTAACACTGTCGATGTCTTTGTTGGGCTTTATGAGTGTGCTGCTTTGTTTTCTCTCCTTTTCACGTCGGACACTAGAGGCTCAGAGGATGTCTGGATACACTGCGGACCTTCAGAGACTTCCCTGGCACCCCCTGGGCTTGGGAAGGAGGCAGGACAGGTGATATGCCCATGGGCTGGTGCTCTCAGGTGGATGTTTTGCTGCCAGGAGGACATTTTAAGTCCCAAGAATATGGGATATTTAGTGGTTTCTTGGTTGGTTGCTTGAATAAGTTTCTGAATTTCTCCTTGTCTTCGATCATAAAATTAAATTTTTGCTACCAGGGATTTCAGATCCTACAGCTTTGGAAAGTGGGTTTGCTTTCTTCCAAAACCTGAGGCAGCTTTGGGAAGCAGATGTGTGGGAGCTGCATTTCACCTTTCATGTTTTTGGGGGATTTGTCTGGAAGCCATTCTGGAGTTTCATTGGGAATTGCTGGCGTGGTGGGTGGGAGCTGATGCTTGGCAGCATCTCCCTCCCTTTTTTTTCTCTTGCTGCATCAGATTACTGTATAAAAAGGGTGTGGTGACTCCAAGCCTGGCTTTGCCCCCATATCCCTGCCCACACACCCACTGGGAGGGGAGACATCCGACAGGGCAAGTCTGTTGGGTGAGGATGAGGAGCCAAAGGGCACCTTGGGCTGGAGAATGGAGGGGGCTCCACACAAACCCTGCCATCCACTCTCCATCCTCATGGAATTAACACCCGTGTCTCACACCGCCCACCCTGCAGCTGCTCAGGCTGGGGAGCTTTCAATGGGAATCATCCCCGTGGGAGAGGAGCTGTGAACAGTCCAGGAGCTTCTGGAGAACTGTGAATGGGCTGGAGATGGAGGGGTTGTGCTTGACTCTGGAATACCTGGAGTGGGAACAGCAGGTCTGGGTGGAGCAAACTCCAGTTCCCCCTCCAGCTGGGACCGGGCCAGCAGGGAATGTCATGGATTCCTGCAGGGAATGTCATGGATTCCCACCCCCCAACCCTGCCCTCGGTGCTGCCCAGCAGAGCAAGAGGAGGAGTCGCTGCTGATCCATGTGTTGGAGCCTTGGGAATCCAGCTCCAGGGGATAACCAGGAAGGGCTCTGCTTGCAGCTCCAGGACAGCACAAGATGGGTCACAGCCACAGTTCCAGGAAGACTGAGGCACCTGCTGGGAGCACCTTATCCCAACACGTTATCCCTGATCCTGCCGGAGCCGGGGGAAGGACAGTGGGAATGCTGCGTCATTTCCATGGAGATGAGGAGTTGTTGGGCTTCCTTAGGGGATAAACTTCAGCACATGGAAGCGGGATAAGGTTAAGGGGTGGGAATGGGGGTGAGGGAGGAGTGTTCTGGGAGCTGCTCAGGAGCCAAACCTCGTGTGCTGGGTCTGGCCTGGCTGGAGCCTGTCAGGGCCAGTGATCCAGTGTTGGGGCTAAAGATCTGCTGTTCTCTGGCTGCAAATCTCTCTTCCTAAAATACATGGATTTTGGGAATCAACCTTGTGCTTTTGCTCTGGCAGAGGTGCTGCTGGTGCTGCTCTGTGAAACCTCCTGTGACAAAACACAGGTGGCTTTGTAGCAAGATGCTCCAGCAGCACCGTGTTGGCTTGTTTGCCTCTCCCCAGATCTGAGCAGGGAGCTTTGGGGGATCAGGCTCAGCACCCTCATCCCACTCCTGGAAAACTCTTCCTCCTTTCTCTGGCAGATCTTCACAGCAAAAACCAGCTGGTGCTGCTCCAGATGTTGCTCACACACACATCCTGTCCCAAAGAGCCAAACCCCGATGAGATGGCAGCGATCCGTCCTTTTCCGTCAGTGCTTGACCTTGGAACTGGGAGAAACTTGATGCCACCTGTCACCGAGATCCTGAGTGAATCCCCCCCTTGGCCCTGTTCCTTTCCTCCTAGAGCTGCTGTGGGGCCCAGGGTGGATTCCCTGGGGCTGGGCAGGTTGGGGTCCCTGTGTTTGTCTTGGGTATTGCTCCTAAATTTTCTGACTGTTCCCTTCCTGCGTTGGAGTGTGGATGGTCCAAGTCGGGTCAGCTTTAGGGTGAGCAGTGATGGGCTGTGTTAGGGTCAACTTGGCTTATGGGGCTCTCCCTGAGGGTACCCCTGCTGCTTTTCCCTCCTTAGCAGCACCTGTCTGTCCCCAGGAGAATTGGCTGGGTGGGATGGACATAGGTCTGTGGTGCTCACCAGCTGCCAGGCACTGGGATCCAGCTGGGATCCAGCTCCTCCAGCACATCCAGTGGGGAGCATGGATTCTGCAAATCCCTGGCAGTAGCCTTGCTCTGCTCAACTGTGGTTTGTAGGCACCTCATGAGGAGCATCCACACCATCCCCAGGGGCCTGGAGTTCAGAAGATCCAAGATCTCCAAGTCCTTGTGGGACCTTCTGTCAGATGAGGGTCTTTCCCACGTGTGAGCTGGGGATGATTTTGGGTGGTTATGATCATATGGTGCTGGATCTCACCCAGCTGCAGCCTGGCCCCATCTCCATGGCCATTGTCCTGCTCTAGGCAGGTCCAGGTGGGAGCTGAGGGCCTGGCCTTGCTGAGATGAGCATCCCCAAGGATGGATTTCTGTTGTGTCATCACCCTCAGCATTTTAAAATTAAGAATAGAAATCCACATATTGGAGCTTCCCATGGTGCCTCTTGTCCTGCCACCACCATCTCCACGAGGAGAGCCACCTGGCTCTTTCCCAAGGTGCCCCAGCACCTCCTGGATGTGCTCCAGTGCCTCCATCCCTGCTTTTGATGTGCTGGGGACCCCCAAACTGGGCAAAGGCTGGTCTCAAAGTGCTGTAAGGAGAGGAACAGTCTCATCTTCCCTCGCCAGTGGTCATGGGGATTCCTAATGTTCATCCCAACCCTTTGAGCCACAAGAGTTCCTTTAGTTTTCCACCCATTTTTCTGGAAGCTGTGGGTGTCGGGGTTGCTCCAGAGTTCCGCACGTCAAGAACAAGGTGAGGTGTGTTTAGCTGGGCTGGAAGGGGTTGGGACCTGCCCTTGGAGGGATGAGCTGAGCCCACCTGAAGTGTTTGGTCAAACCAGAGCTCCAGGAGGCCAGTGCTGGGATGGAGGGACCTGCTCCCTCAGCAGAGCAGTGAGAAGGGACCATCTCCTATTGGAGCTGAAGTGGTTTGTGGAAGGAAACATCTTGGTGCAGTTGGACCTGGAGATGTGGTGGATCAGGCTCAGCAGGGAGGGGAGAGGCAGGACGGTGCATGGCCAAGGTCCTGTGGGTTTTGTGGAGTCGAGGATCACACCTGTGGTTAACCTGGAGACCACTGCCCTGGCTTCCATGGCTGCATGGAGGAGGGATCTGGGATATTCCACATCCAGCTCCTCACCTGAGGTGGCGGGAGAACAGCAAACCACCCGTTTCTGGGGTGCTTTTGTTGTTTGGCTGCTCCCAGGGTGGGCAGGAACAACCCCCACCTCTGCTGGAGCCCAGCACGTGCTGCTGCTGCCCGAAGGGCTGGAGGGCTGCTGGGGGCTGCCACCTTCTCGCTCTTTTGCTTGTCCTTCTTTGTGACCCCCCTCTCCTTCCATGGCCCTTCCCTGTCCCTCACCTTCTGCCCAGCCCCAGTGGTGTTGTCCATCCCCTGGACCTGGGATCAGCTGCTGCTGCTTGGATCCAACAGGCTGGAGGTGATGGACCTTCCCCTTGGGAAGTGACAAAGCCCAGGGGACCCCACAGAGCCCCTTCCTGGGGGGGCTGTCCCCGTCCTTCCCTCCTCTGCCTCTGCCTCCTCTGTGTCCCCCCAGATGTGGGGTCTCCCTGAGCCCTTCCTGCCCAGTTCCTGCTGGGGCAGAGCTGCTGGAGGAGGCACCAGTGCCATGGGCATGGGGCCCCCTGGAGCTGCAGGGCCCCCCCCAGCACCAGCACAACCCGGGGTGTGTCCCCTCCTGTCCAAATTCATCCTCAGGGATGCCCTTCCAGGGAGAGCAGGAGGGGGGGATGTGCCCTGGGTCCCCCAGCTGCCACAGGGACCTCGGGGGAACCCCATGACCCATTCCCCCCTTTCTCCTGTGTTTTTTGGGAGCTCCCCTGGCACTGCAGGGCCTGCAGCTGCTCCTTCAGCTCAGTGCCGGCGGGGTGGGGGTCCCAAGGGTGGAGGTCCCTCCAGGGCCCACTCCCACCACACAACTCCCTCCCCACAAAGCTTTTGTGGTCCCAAAAAAACTTTTCTGGCCCCAAAAGCTTCCCGGGGGAGGCTGGTCAAGGGTGACCCCTCCTCGTGGAGGTGACCCCTTCCCTCACATTTCTAGGGGGTGGGATTACATTTTTTTTCCCAAACAGGGTCATTTTGGTCACAGGGGTCCCTCCTCCCCCCCAGTTGAGCTCTGTGGTGGTTGGAGGAGCTGCAGCTTCTCGGCCAAGGTCACTCGTGCTGGCCTTGAGTCACCCCTGGGGGGGGACATCGTGGGTGGAGGGCACCTGGCCATGTGTGAAACAGCCCTGGGGATGACCTGGGTTGGGGCAGGAGATACATTTTTTGGGGTCAGGGGGTGATTAACCCGCCCGGGGATGCCCCAGCCAGCAGCTGAGCCCTGGCAAACTCAGTGCAGGGGGAGGACAGTGGGGTCACCCCGAGAATGGGAGCACCCTGAGAGTGGGTGGAGGGCACCTGGCCATGTGTGAAACAGCCCTGGGGATGACCTGGGTTGGGGCAGGAGATACATTTTTTGGGTCAGGGGGTGATTAACCCGCCCGGGGATGCCCCAGCCAGCAGCTGAGCCCTGGCAAACTCAGTGCAGGGGGAGGACAGTAGGGTCACCCCGAGAATGGGAGCACCCTGAGAGTGGGGTCACTGTGGGACTGGGGGCACCCTGAGACTGGGGACCCCTTGAGATTGGGGTCACCCAGAGACTGGGGACACC